CTGAACTCGAGCTCAAAGTTTGACTCAACAATCCGGCTCGGTCGATACGGGGGCATGATAGCGGTTCAGATCAACTGCTAAAGTTCAACTGAAGCTTTAAAAAGTTGATTTACTTTCTAATATGGGCGAAAACGTACAGGAAAAACGTTACCTTTGGTGTAAAAGCAGTCCCGGCGAACGGTTGAAGTGAAGCAGCTCTTGTAGCTGAGAGTGGAAATGACTCCGTGTTTCCCAGATCACTGAGGTGTGGTTGAAGTTTCCCCATTAATATGAGGAAATACTGCAAACCAGAGACCATCAGCGCCACCAACAGGGAACACGTGCAGACTATGGATATATGGAGTGTATAAGCATAATTTGGTCAAAGATGTATGTTGTTTTTCAAGCATCAAATCTTATTATTTTATTTATTTTAATTTTAGTTTATCTTATCATTTTATTTTATTTCATTCTCTACATGTTATAGTAGTGCACAGTCCTGTGTTATGTTTCAATTTATGTTGTTTGATGTAGCACCTTGGTCCTGGAGGAACATTGTTTCGTTTCACTGTACTGCACTGTATACATTTTTTTTTTTAACTCAACCATTGGGTTAAATAAATAACTCAACGTTTTTAGAGTGTATTGTTGAAGTGACAATAAAGCCAACTTGACTTGACATCAATAATTTGCAATAAATATTCATATAATTGTTTTTCCTAATATTTTAGATGTTTGGAAAGCTACATACTGCATCATCACATCAGTCAATCGTAGGTTTTATTCATTCGTCAGCCATTTGTCAGGATAAGATTGTTGTTTCATTTTATACTATATTGATACAAAAGGTGAAAAGTGACATCTTGTCTTTGACCCATTAAGACCATTTTGAGGGACGGTCAAAGATTCTGAGAATCCAGAAAGTTCCACATGTTGATACTTTTTATAATGACAGCAGTGTTTTTTTTTTTTTTCTTGAATAACAACTTTCATCTACATTTATAGAACAGAGCACACATAATAATCAAATCAATAAAATAATAATACACTTAAACCATAGAATAGACGCACAAACACAACTAAAAGAAAGAAAGAAAGAAAGAAAGAAAGAAAGAAAGAAAGAAAGAAAGAAAGAAAGAAAGAAAGAAAGAAAGAAAGAAAGAAAGATTACATCAGGTCTTCTATTAATTTTTTTTTCAATAAACTAAACAGTCTTCTTCCACATTTTGATTGTAGCAACTTTAAAGATTTACAGTATAACCAAAACTCCATTTAGAAAATTAAAACAGTGGTTTTGTTTTAAGGCACTTGCATTTATGAATAAAACATTTCCCCAAAATTAGAATATTATTTAATACAAATTTAATATTAACATCTTCTCCTAATAAAACAAGGAAAATATAATTTTTGGAAAATTGGGAGGACATCTTGGGAGTAACCTTTAACCACTCAAACAATGACAGCCATGTTAACATTAGGTATAGTCGTCTCTGTTAAAGTTCTGAAAAAGTTTTAAGACAAGCAGGAACGGTTTATGGATGAATGATATCGCATTTTTAAAATGGTCTGTAGAAATAGTTTTTTTTTTAATGATGCTAAATATTGCTTTTTTATTTCAATCTTTTTATTGGCCTTTTAAATGACTATACAAATTCAATATTGAGAGGTAAACAGTAATGTATTGTCCATCCCCTAACCTCTCATTCATTAACTCAATTAAAAAAAACAACAATAAATTAATACATACATAAATATATTACAAAATACATACATACAAAAATACAAAGAGGCAGTCAATATATAGGGGTAGTGAGCATATTAAGCTGCCCAGAATGCTGCACAGATTCTGCATTGTATTGGTCCAGGTGATCAAGAAATGGTTGCCATATTGTAAAACTTATGTAAAACTTTAAGATGATCAATAACTCAATATCAAACTTTTTCCATGTGGAATATTTGAGTGAGATGAGTTAACCATGTCTTAAATTGAAGAATAGAATCTGATTTCCACAGTTTTATTATGACACTCTTAGCAATAATCATTTCATAAATCATGGTGTTTTGTATGGACATATCATAATCCAGCAGAGAACAAGAGTATACCCGAATATAACAATTTCTGGGCCAGGTGTAAAGGTAAAACATGTAAAATATTGCTTTATCTGATTTATTGATTATCTAATGAAAAGCAAAGGTATGTGCAAATTAAATTCCTATTTTTTTATTTAATTTATATTACTACAATTATAAATTCAATTCTGTTTCTCTGGATTTACATTTCTTTCTGAATTTAAAGCAAGTTATCATTTGGTGCTTTTTTCATAAAAAAAAATAACAGAGAATGTGTTCATAAACATGTTTAGAATCACCTTTAGATGACACAATACAAATACTTCAACTTTATAATGTTAGGAAATCAATATTTGGTGGAGTAGTGCTGATTTTCAACCTCAACAAATAAAACATTTGTATGAGCAATTGCCATTTTATGAAAAACCATGCAGGAAATGCTATCGCCTCACTGCAAGAAGGTCGCTGGGTCGCTGGTTCGAGCCTCGGCTCAGTTGGCATTTCTGTGTGAAGTTTGCATGTTCTCCCTGCGTTTGCGTGGGTTATCTCCGGGTGCTACGGTTTCCCCCACAATCCAAAGATGTGTTACAGGTGAATTGGGTAGTCTAAATTGTCCGTAGTGTATGAGTGTGTGTGTGAATGAGTGCGTAGATGTTTCCCAGAGATGGGCTGTGGCTAGTAGGGCATCTGCTGCTTAAAACATGCTGGATAAGTTGGTGGTTCATTCCGCTGTGGCGACCCCGGATTAATATAGGGACTAAGCTGACATGAAAATAAATGAATAAATGAAAAAACATGTGCTCTAAATGCAAACATTTTTATAAGTATTAAAAAAGAAACGTTATGAGAGATTTATTTTTATGCTGTTTTTATCTACTAAATATGATCAAATATTACGATGTCAAAACAATATTCCATACAGAATCAGAAAGAGCTTTATTTTGTGTCAGAGCTTCTACAGTGCAACAATTACAGTGACGGGACAAAAAGCAGACAAGTGTAGGTATATTACTATTTACAACGTTATATGTGCAGCTGTTATGTGCAAAATGGAATGTAAAGTATGTTAATAAATAAGTGTATACATGTATAAAAAGTGTATAGCAAGTAGTAATGTTTGTCTCACTATTACTATATCATCCAGTGTTCATGAGATGGATTGCCTGAGGGAAGAAACTGTTTCTACAGGCTGTTGTGTGTGCGCAATGCTCTGTAGCGTCGACCAGAAGGTAAAAGTTCGAACAGCCAGTGTGCTGGGTGTGAGGGGTCCTGGTGCTTTTGACTGCCCTTCTGTTGGCTCTGTGACAATAGGAACTAATAATGTCTGTGTTGTTGAAGGGGTAAACTGTTTTTAGTGTTGCACTGTCAATGTTGTGAGTGAAAGAGAAGTTTTGGATTAAAGTGAGTTATAGTCTCAGTCTCTTTACTGGTGAAGAAAGTAACTTTTAAACAGGCTCTGGATGCGTACAGTTCTTGGAGAGTAGGGAGGGTTGTACCAGTAATTCGGAGTGATTCACTATTCGACATAACGTTAGTCTTCAGAGGTCAGATTTGGTAGCTGAGCTAAACCAGACAGTTATTGACTGCAGAAGACAGTCAATCTTCTATACATGACAATAACATAACCTTTTAGAATATTTTTAAAGATATTTACACTCTATGGCAGGGGTCACCAATCTCGGTCTTGGAGGTCCGGTGCCCTGCAGGGTTTTGCTCCAACATATACCTAGTAAGACCTTGGTTAGCTTGTTCAGGTGTGTTTGATTAGGGTTGGAGCTAAAATCTGCAGGACACCGGACCTCCAGGAACACGTTTGGGGATCCCTGCTCTATGGGATAAAAAATTATATATTATAAAATTTTATATTATAAAAAAAAGAAATAAAACTGTATGTGAACAAATTTCTTGAGGCTCAAAAACAGTTTTCATGCAGTAGGGAGCGCTATAGACGCCACAACTTCTCAACACAACCAGCGAAGAACCAATCAAATATTTCTACTTCCGGTTGCGTTCGTGCGCCATCTTTGACGAAAAATAGCCCATCTTTATTATTTTTGTTTTTAAAAAGTATAGAAAAGTATGGTATAACACTTAACCGCATTAAACAACCGAAGCATACGTCTGGTCCTTTCCGTATCTAACGTGTTATAACACAGCAACCGTCTTCGGGAAGCCCAGCTGGCGAGGTGAGCTGCAGAAGTTTTGCTTTATTCTGTTTACTGACTGCAGGAGTTTGATGAACTGTCTTTAATCGAGATTTTAATTTCAGATTCTACACGGGTTTAGCGATAAAGTATCCGCAGACGATCACAGGACAATAAGAGCAGCTGTTTCCGAACTTAAAAACTTAAGCGTAACTTATTCAAAACTTATTAAAGAGCATACATTTTGACAATAAATCATTATTTATCGCATTATGGTTAATAACGTACAGTCTGCAGTTTAATGCCTCGTAAAATATGCTGAATACATTTAGAAAATATTTCAGGTAAACAATGCGGTAATAATAGTCATCGTTAACCCGTTTAGAACTGCATTTAATTATAACGCTAATGTTATATAATTCACGCTAAACCTGTTTATAGTGTGTTAAAATATCCATTCAGCCTCTCCGTAATATCGTTTAGCTAGTAGAAATGTCCAGCATGAAATCAACTTCCCCCGGAACTTGCCATATTATAAAATGATGACTATTTCCCGTCGTGACTCTGATAATATATTGTGTCATAACTTACATTAATGTAACAGTTACACATCCGTTTCCTTAAACTCAAATAATTTGTTCCCTGTGGGATGAAGTCATACGACTAATATATCCACATTGTCTGCATACAAGTTAATCGTGGAGAATTATTACCTGCTTTGCATCTTTTAAACATGCTACATCTGGTTAAACAACCAGTTTATGTAAACAAACATAAAACAATGAATAATTTAAATGTAAAATGTATATCGTTGTTCTCTGGTGACCTGAAGTGTCTCTTTTATCCTTATTTGTAAGTTGGATAAAAGTGTATTAAATGAATTTAATACTAAAAAGTTGCTATTATTTTATTTTATTTTCTTGATGCCTCAATCCTCATTAGATGTCACTTGTGGATTTGGGCAAGCGCTTGTTGGAAGCAGCTCGCAAAGGACAGGATGATGAAGTGAGGTCACTTATGGCCAATGGAGCTCCGTTTACCACAGACTGGGTGAGTTAAATTATCCCATCCACTTTTTTGGGGTGAGTTGTATTTGCCCGTTCACTTTTTCAAATCAGTTTAACTCCTTGAAGTAAGCAAGCAAAACAAAAAAAGTCCTTTATAAGCTATGAACCAAACCATCCAGTTCTGAGGTATATCACAACATTATAGACTGAAGCATTATAGATTTGAGGTAAAGTAGTATGTGATAATTTGACTTAAAACTAAATAAAACAAGGGTTCTTCACAGCTTTAATGAGGTAAAGAACTGCAATCAAGAAAAAATGTGAATGACACAAACTCATCTGATTAAAAATGAACATTTTTTTTATTGTAAGATGTTTTTGTCTATAGGTTTTAGAAATAGAATTTTTGTAGTGCAATATATTGTCACAGAAATTGTTGATAAGCGATATTATTGTCATTTTGAGATCATTTTATGCCACTGATTATATAATGCCTATAAACACTTTAAAATACTTATTCTTAAGGTTATTCAGATCAGTAGTTCTCAACTGGTTTTGCCATGGGACGCACATTTTTACATGGTCATCAACCCGCGAACCAAATTTTTAAAAAGTATAACAGGGGTGGCCAACCCTGTTCCTGGAGAGCCACCTTCCTGTAGATTTCAGTTGCAACCCATATCTAACACACCTGCCTGTAATTATCACGTGGTGTTCAGGTCCTAATCAATTGGTTCAGGTGTGTTTGATATGGGTTGCAACTTGCAACTGAAATCTGCAGGAAGGTGGCTCTCCAGGAACAGGTTTGGCCACCCCTGAACTATAATATAATTTTGGGAATCATAATTAATTTGTATTTATTTGTTAATATACACAAGTAGTGACAGATAAATATCATATTATAAGAAAATCAGCAAGACTTACAAATAAACAATATTTTATTGCTGTCATTTAACAAAATGTCTCAAATAGGGTTGTAACAATATACCGGTATGACGGTTTACCACGATTTGAACGTGCACGATTATCATACCATGAACAATTGCATATCAACGGTTTTAACCCTTAAAGGCAGAGACAGCCGCTCGCGGCTAAAAATAAGTATTGCTCTTAAATGTTTAATAACTTTTGATCTGCTGATCCGATTCATACAATTCAAAGATGTTTAAAGATGCATAAAGAAGAGAATCTCAGCTTTCCTGTGCTGTATCACATAACATTCGCGGACTTTCAGAGGCTCCGGAATCAGTGCGGTTACGTCATCAACATTTGACAACGCTGATTTGACAAAGAAACGCTCGTCACTGTGTCTCCGGACAAACCAGACATGATACATTGATGCATTATCCCTCCTCCATGCCCAGATTGGTTCAAACTCGCTATATCACAACCAATAAGCATAGGTTTCGCTTTTGTTTGTGGACCAAGCTTTTTGAACAACACGGAATGAGAGAAAGGCATACATTTATGCGCGGCTAAATAAAACGCAAAAAAAAAAAAAGTTTTGCATGCACAGCAGCACAGAAACATGACAAAACAGTGACACAGCAAAGACAAACTGCTGCTCTTGCTGTTTTCAAAAGACGCAAATGAAGGTGCAGCTGTTTGTCTGCATTGCAGACAACCATATCCAAATCCACAGACAACCATATCCATGCTGGCACATAAAACCTAAGGATGTTCCATATTGAATCTAGTTTCGTTATGTAACTATTTATAGTATAGTAAATATTTATATCAATTTTTAACTGAGGATTTGCACCATGTTTATTTGGACTTTATTTGGACTTTGACACATTATTTATTATTTTCTTATTTTTATTTGTTCATTGTAAGTGGTGTTGTTTATAGTAACTAAAAATATATTATTTGGAAAAAGTCAAATTTGCTTCACTGTTCTATTATTTTGTAACATACCGTATACCGCGAAACCGTCAAACCGTGGTATTGTTTTAGACGATTATCATACCGTGAAAAATTCATACCGTTACAACCCTAGTCTCAAATATAGAAATATTACAAAGTAAAAACGACAAATGTTTGGTTTCTAAATGTGCTCTTGTGACAGCACATCACTTCATATGACACACTGAGTTTTGTATATGAGGTTTTGAGCCTTTTTTGTCATCAATATGTGTAAATCCATACTTTACATATTCGGGGTCCTACTTGCACTTCAACATATTTGTTGCTATAATTAAATGAAATTTCACATGTCAAACGGTGCAGTTGTCACTCGCGCATTTCAAAATAAAAGTCTGGTATAAGCAAAATAAGTAAAAAATTAAACGTTTGTTGTTTTTTTGACCACACACTCTGCAACCCACTGAAAATGTTCCTGCGACCCACCAGTTGAGACACACTGATTTAGATTATATAATCTGATTTTAAAAAGGTAATTTTCCTAATATGTATATACTATTAAATTTCCTATTAGGTAAATGTCCAAATATAAACTTGGACAGCAGTGAGTTAGAATATAAATGTAAAATAGCTTTAACATTATTTATGAATTTGTAAATGTATATTGCAACGGCAAAAATTATTGAGGTCTCCAAGTATTGCACGATAAGTCGCTATATTGATTATCGTGACAGGCCTATCTATAGAAACAATATGTTTCATATTTATTGCTAAATATATAGGTAATCAGTAAATAGTCTTGTTTCCCCCATTGATGAGTTGCAGCAAGAAGGCCATCCGCTGCATAAAAATATGCTGAATAAGTTGGTAGTTCATTCCACTGTGTTTTGTGTACAATTATTAGTGATGCTTCAAGGACAGAGCTAGAAAGAAAAAATAATTTTTTTTTTTTGTTCTATGACTTTACATTAGTAGAATTTTCTTTTCCCCCCATTCACAAATGTTCCTGTTAAAAAAAAAAACTGTTGAATACAACAAAATTATATACAATTGCTTTAACAGCCACTTAGCTTACAACATCTGTTTTTAAAGCTTTTTTTTTTTGGTTAAAATCAATAAAAGGAAAATGATTGAATAAGAAAATTTAGTTTTCACTTCTGCACATTTTTTTTCTGAATCAGAATTTTAGAATAAAAGTACTCACAATGCTATTGTATTTTAGCTGGGAACCTCACCGCTACATTTAGCAGCACAATATGGGCACTACTCGACCGCTGAGGTGCTTCTCCGTGCTGGCGTGAGTAGAGATGCCCGCACTAAAGTTGACCGCACACCACTCCACATGGCAGCAGCAGAGGGCCACTCAAGCATTGTTGAGTTACTGGTTAAGGTAAGATCAAATGATCTCAGATTAGTATTAGATTTGATTGACTTTCTGACTCATGTTAATTGGTCGATCATATCTTGGACAGAGCGGAGCAGACATCAATGCCAAAGACATGCTGAAAATGACCGCCTTGCACTGGGCCACAGAACATGGGCACAGGGGAGTCGTGGAGCTGTTGGTCAAATACGGTGCAGATACTCACGCCCTCAGCAAGTTTGATAAGACTCCGTTTAACATTTCAGTGGACAGAGGAAACACTGATCTGATGCTCTTGCTACAGGTAAAAAATAAATAAATAAATAAGATGACTCTCAGAATGTCTTTATAATTTTGCATTATTATAATTATTCTAGGAGGGAATGCAGAATCAAGTGAACATGAATCCAGAGAGGACTATCCTGAGCAGCACGTCGCCTGCCACCTCCAGCCCTCAGTTCATCATCTCCTCCTCTGGGGTGGTCAATCTTTCTGATATTGTTCTCAGCAATGCTAAGTCCAATACAGGTATGAGGTTCATTACATTTTTTTCTTTTTTTTGCCAGTAATATGAGAATTTACCTCCTGTCACACTCATCCTTTATCAATTTCCCATGAAAATTATACATTTTATTTAAAGATTATATGGATACCATAACAGTATTTTGCTTACATTTGCATTTTCAGGTCCCCCAAAACAATGTTAACATGTAAATGAATGAACAAAATGTAGTTTTTCAGATTTTGGTTTTGTAAACAGCTCTTAAAACACAAGTAATTAAAACAATTTGCAATTTATCAATCCTATTAAGTTTGACTTATAATTTGAATTGAATTGGATTTGTGTATTTGTCCCCTGTTAAACCAGCTGCTTCAGAGAGTGTGATAGCTGCTGATTCAGTAGATTCTGCCATTCAGCATCTTGTAGGGGAAGATGGCCAGAGAGTTATCACTATAGTAACCGACCAACAGGGAAACCTGCAGCCTGGCAACTTGGGACATAAATTCTTTGTCACCATGCAGGGGCAGCAAAGTGAGTATATGCTAATCTACTTACCTATTAAGACTTTGGTGCAGTATTTGAAAGAATCATGAACATGAATTTTTCTAATTTGTTCTGTTGTCTCTGAGATCCACTTATAAATGTAAAAATTTGTGATAAAAAAAACTATTTAGAAGAAGTAACAGGCTAGTTTCTGTCATGTTTTTGTCACAGATAATAGTGGATTGTAGACTCTGAAATAAGCGTGTAAAGAAAGATTTGCATATTTAAAAATGTTTAAAAGTCTAAAAGGAGAGCTGTGTATGCTCACTTAAAGATGGACACTGCTGTGATTTAGTGTACAAAAACGCATAAATACTTGATACATAAATACATTTAAAAAAATCGATTATTACAGACAAAGCAATAGTGAAAAAAATAATTATTCATTTGTATTGTGGTGTGACAGTACTGTCAGGTCCAGTTTAGGTGAAACAGCATCATATTTTCTTTATGAAATTTCCGTGCTGAATTGTGCCTTTTCTGAAAATTAATTCATGGCAAAATGACCAGAAGCTGCAGAGACTTATTTTAGTATGTTGATGTACTTCCAACAAATGGAATATTGAGTAGGGGCTTTCTTTTTGTGCATCATTCCCTTGCAGCAAACTAATGCTAAGAGTGGCATGGTTAAGAATATTGTGGCTGAAGCTGACAAACTGGCGTCAATGGAGAAGGACTGCCACTCGAATAAGAAGCAAATTGTCAGATTTTGAAAATAACCAAAAAAAAAAATATATATATATTTTTTTTCCTGTGGATTATCTTGCACAGATTAAGGGTGCACTCACACGGTGTACAGTTGCCTCGAACCAGGCCGAAGCATGCTTGTCCCCCTTCCTGTCTCCCTTGACAGCCTGCACTCAAATTGCTTTCGAGCTTGAGCATGCTTACGTCATCGATGATGCATTGTTCAGTAACACAGTGGAGATTTATTTAGTTCTATCATTTATTAGTTATATATAAAGAATAATAATGTGCACTAGCAAAATAAACATTTTGTCTTTTTTTTTTTATTTCACACAGAGTTTAAAAGGACAGAGTTTAGTGACCTAGTCTCTGACCTTGTTTAAAAAAATAAAGTTAATCCACTCTTTCCTAAGGTTGCCATTAGGGATGCTCATTTTGGTTAATTTTGCCAACCAACAACCGCTGCTCATTAACGAATATTAACTGTTAACTGGTCAAATTAATATTAAATTGTTAATTTAAAAAAATGATTGATGTGTCTATTTTGTGTGACATTAAATATTGCATTTTAAAATACTGATTTATTTTAACATGCGGACGACAGCATTCAGAACAACAGAGCATCTTCACGCAGCTGCTGTGTTTACGCTCCAAAACCTCAAGGTACACCACACTGCCTTTTTGTTGACAAGAAAAAAAGTGCAGTGCTCTTTTTTTTATGTCACTAGGAAATGACTGAATCAGCTGCGTATTGATCACGAGTGTTGCTGTCAATGTTTTTAAAATTGTAATATTAAACAATATTCAAGATTTGTAAAGTAATACAGCTCCGAAAAACTTGAAACAGCGAACGCTAGTCTCTCCTCAATCTTCAAAAGTCTCTGTAGACTCACGTCTTGAAAGCTCAACACTGCTGTCACCTCAAAGGATGCGAGGCGCGCAGGGCGCAAAACACTCATAGCCATTAGTTATTCATTCAAAAGATCCCCCTCTCAATGGATAAAAGCGCATTTGCTGTGATCAGCCCCTTATGCCTAAACTTTAGCCAAACATTAAAAATATAAATAAAATAATAGTTTAAATCGTTTAACCGATACAGTAATTCAGTTAAAAACGCACCCTTTCGGTTAACGCATACGCTTAATCATTTATTTTGAGCATCCCTAGTTGCCATCTGTTGGAATGAAATGCAAAGACCAGGGGCCTCATGTACGAAGACTTGCGTGGAAATCATACTAAAACATTTACACATTTACACACATTTACAGCTTTGTGCGTACGCAGAAAAAAATTCAGATGTATGAAACACTGCGTACGCCGAATCTCACGCATATTATTTTGAACATCTGAATGAACGTGAAACTGAGCGCAACATGCACGAGCACAAAACCCCTCCCTGCCTCATCCCCCGTATGAATATGCAAATGACTATGCTAATGGAAAAACCCAACGAAAAAGCAATGGCAAAAGCAAGCAAAAAGAGAAACTTTGAACAGAATGTGAATTGGTGCTCCTTTCAGAGGTAGACCGGAGAAAAGCGGTGTTATTTGCACGTTTGTTCTCCGCAATTAACAACAAAAGAAAAAAATTGAGTGGGAGAGTTTAGCTGATGCGGTTAACACAGTTGGGTCTGAACATCGCACTGAGTGAATTAGAAAAGAAATTGTGTGATTTATAGGTGTAAAATGTTGCAGTACCCTCAACAGTCAGTGGCGCAGCTCGTAAGATGCATGTTAACATGTTTTGACACTTCGAGCATGAACTCTGTTCGAATCCAGCGTCTGATGAACTCTTTCTTCTTTTTTCCCCCGCTACATATCTGATCTTGCCAACTATTTATCACGAGAAAGACAAGTAGGAATCAATAATAAGTCTGTGCATCATATTTTATTAGCACATTTATTGAATGGAAATGTTTCTGATTCACGCATCCAAATTCATCTTCAGATAGTGTCTTTATAGCAATGTGCGTGCGGTAGATCGCTCAGATTACAATGGGAAAACAGGCGACCGCTGCAAATTGCGCTTTAATGTTTAGCTGGTCAACTGTATGGTATGGAACCCTTATATACCTGCTAGATGAACCCGTCTCATACAGCTGCCATTGCAAGGCTTAAAGACACTTTGTAGAGAGGAATTTAACACAACTGCCTCTAGGAGTCGCCAATGGAAATAAAACAGACACGCACAAAAAATGTGCGTACGCCAGCCATAAAGCTGCCGTGGAGCTGCGCACATTCCCACGTTCAGTTCATCGTTAGTAAATCCAAAGTGAGCGATTCTGAGCGTGAAACCTGGCGTACGCAAAGTTTTTATGCGTACGCAGCGTTGATACATGAGGCCCCAGGGCATCTTGTTATCTTTACCATGTTTATTGTTTTGGTTTTGTGGACTTTTGTTTGCCTCTCTCTTCACCTACTGTACCGTGAATCAGTGTGCAGAGATAAACAGTCAGTAATGTAGAAGTGAATTTTGATCTGCAGAGTTTGGGTTTAAACAAACTTATGTAACAAAGAGGCGTTATTTTGGCAGACTGGCTTCATTATAAGCTGTTTTTACATTAGATAATATAAAATATATTAATATAATATATTTGAAAATAAATGTACTTTAATTTCTCAATTCATGACCTCTTTAAAACCTGGCATGTCTGTACATTTAGTGGTTGCAGTGCCAGCAGGTCAGATTGCAGAAGAAATCGTAACTGAGGAGCCCAAACCAGTTCCATCACGAAAGCGGAAATTTGAATCAACGATGAACCACACAGATGTCAAGCATAAGGTCTGACCTGCAGAGATTTCTATTGAAATTGTACTTGTTTAGAATGCGACAGCAAAACAGGTCTGACTGTTTGGGGTTTTCTACAGGAGCCCGATGAGAAGGACAGTCGAGAAGTACTGGAACAGCAGCTAAAAGAAGCAAACAGAAAAGCGCAGGAGTACCGACAGCAGTTAATGCGGAAGGAACAGGAAGCTGAGCAGTACAGGCTGAAACTAGAAGCCATTGCCAATGGACAGACCAACGGCACAGAGCCCCAAGAGGAAGTAGTACTCCAAGAAGAGGAAGAAGAGGAGGAGGTAGTTGGTGAAGAGGAAGTTGTCATGTTGCCAGAAGGCACCATCATCATTAAAGAGGAACCTCTGGATTCAACAACAGGAGAAACTGTGACATTAGTGGAGTCGACAGATATCACAGCCATTTCTGAGGACACGCCGTAACGGTGAACCCAAAGACTCAAACACTCAGGAATTACAAACACTCTTTTAGTCTGTGTGCCTGAAGTGTCATATTGTATTTATTTATTGTACATCATAAGCTTTTGTTTTTATCCTTTTTTTACTCCTAGCGTTCAGTTTTTGTAAAAACCTCTACAAAAAAGTCGTAGCATTAATAATATTTAGGTGGCCACAATAATGCTGAGCTGCTCAGATTGGAAGAATATGAAGATGAAGCATGTCCCTTTAATGTACAGCAGTCATGTAGGTTTTAGAAATAATATTATTCATTATCCTTTGGCTCAGTCCCTTTATTAATCTGGGGTCGCCACAGCGGAATCAACCGCCAACTTATTCAGCATATGTTTTACGCAGAGGATGAAATAATACTAATCAAGTCAAATTATACAACTCTAATGATAGTATGCAAGCATTTAAAGATCACCAAAAAATTCATTCATCCATTTTCTTTTCGTTTAGTCCCTTTATTAATCAGGGGTCGCCACAGCGGAATGAACTGGCAACTTATCTAGCATATAATTTACACAGCGGATGCCCTTGCAGCTGCAGCCCATCACTGGGAAACACCCATACACACTCATGCACACACATACACTATGGACAATTTAGCTTACCCAATTCACCTGTACCGCATGTCTTTGGACTTGTGGAGGAAACCGGAGCACCCGGAGAAAACTCGTGCGAACACAGGGAGAACATGCAGACTCCACACAGAAACACCAACTGACCCAACCAAAGCTCGAACCAGAGTCCTTCACTTTCACCAAAAAATGTAAATTGTAAACATTTACTAACCCTTCACTTGTTCCAAACATAGTTGAGTTTCTTCTGATTAACAGAAAAGACATTTAGAAGAGAGAGAAAAAAAATCTGGAAACCTGTAGCTATTGACTTTTATAGAATGTTGTACTACTATAGATGGCAATAGCTACCAGTATCCAACATTTTTCCATTTCTTCGTTTAGTGGAAAAAGTTAACTCGCAAAGGGTTGAAACCACATGAGGAAACTTAAATTGTAAGTAAATTTACATATTTACTCACAAAACGGTTTGCAATTTAATGTTTGCTCACAAAAAAAAACGGTATGCAATTTATTTTTCTGCAACACAAAAGATGGTTTTGTTGGGTGGGTGATTTATTGAAAAGTAATCGAAATCGACATTCATAATCTATAATCAATCTAATTTTTCCAGGTTGTTTGTTCAATTACTGTCGCTACCGCATGTGGAGTCACGTAACCCCACTCTGTTAAGGCTGCAGTCACACTGTTCTTTTCTCCACATAGACTTTCATTCATAAACCCGCGAAATCGCGAATGCATCAGATCGGAAACTCAAGCTCGTGTGACAAGTTTCACAGTTCGCTGCATTGGAAAGTTCAAACTTGGTGAACTCTCACCTGTGAAATAGCATCACTTGATTGCGTGAGGCCAATCGAGAATCAAAACATGGACAGAAATAAATTAAAAATATTTAAAATACACCTCACAGAAATCTCTCACTTGTAATATGTGAACATATTTACTGAATAAAATTTGTCAGTGAACTATAAGGGTATAAAATAAATAATTAAATAAATACAATAATTAACCATATCAAGTTACAATGTTCAATTAATCCAGATTTAGATTTTAGGCCAAATCGCCCAGCCCTAGGTTTTGTAATAGAAAATCGAGGAATGTGGATAACCAAGAAGTTGCCGTGACCCCAAAAGTATTAAAACAACATTTTGGAAGTTGGTGGGGACCAGAAACTGGTGGTACAAATGCTTTGATCTACTTGGAGTTCAGCCATGTTTCAAGCAACTTGAAATTGATTAAATGCCATTTTAATTTGAGTCTCTTTAAAATAGCATCTCACCCCAAAACTAAAGTTATCCGTGTAAAATGAACCAAGCCATCCTACTTGTTTGTCTTATTTCAGATCAACTTAAGTCAGAGTTGTTACATAAGAACTCTATGCTCTTCCCCCAGCTTTATAAATGGCAGGGAATGGTGCAGGAGAAAGTGTAATAAGAAAAATTATATTCAAAACTTTCTAATCTATTAAAATCACTGGCTTTCAGCAACTACCATATATGTCCATCAGAGCTATGATGAATGACATAGATGTAGTGGAAACTATGCTTTAGAGCAGTGGTCTCAAACTCTATTCCTGAAGGGCCACAGCTCTGCAGGATTTACTCACACCTGCTGAATAGTGTCTAGTAGTCTTGTACACTTTGATTAGTTGGATCAGCTGAGTTTGATTAGGGCTGGAACAAAACTGTGCAGAGCTGCGGCCCTCCGGGAATCAAGTTTTAAGTCTATGCTTTAAAAAAGAATTTGGGACTGTTATTATACTATAATGGATATTTATATTATCATCCATCTTAGAATAGTATCCTCATGTTGTCCATCCAAGATTATCCCATTACATATTTTACTAATTCGGTTCACTCATGGAAGTAGTTTATACAGTTTCAGAGAATTGTGCATTGATTGATTGGGCTTACAAGTCATTTGTACTGATGTTGTGTATTTTAAAACAATGATTATACTTTTGTTTTTTAATAAGTCATTTTCAAATAGAACAAGTATTTTTTGTTGTAATTGTCAGTAGAGCTTTACTTCGACCCAAAATGTTTCTAGAATAGTGATGCGAGACATTTGAAGAGACATGTTAAAGGGATAAACTATGCATTTACTTGGCAAAGAAACGTATGTTTTATAAACGTGCATTCATCTATGTAGTCTTGCAAGCAATGGTTTAAATTTAAATCTTACAGAGATTTGTTTTCTTTTAGACACTAAAATCACGATTTGCATTTCTATGTTTTGTGTTTTGAAAAGTATGCAACATGTTCTTGCTTGCATTTCTTTGTGAAATCTTCCATTGTTTACCAACAGTCTTTCTGTCAAGTTATATCATCAGTTGCGTTTACTTTGTCAGGTTTTAAAATGTGAATGAATACCGATTGAAATGTTATGGAAGTAGAGCACACAGGCTTCTTGTAGGTTTGCATTATCTCCTGTTTGCCAGGTAAACAGCTGATGATTCACATTCCACTTAATAATATTTTAAGGGCTGGCATCAACTATTTTGCTCTGTACATATGCAAATATTTAGCTTTCTTCCTTGTAAAACCCTCATTACTAAGATTTTGAAGAACATGCTATTTATTGAATGGTGGATTTATTTAGACATTGTTTTTCTTGTACCCTTTTCAAGCATGTATAATTTCAGTCGTATAGTATGTCATCAGCAGTGCTTTAAATATTAGTTACATTTACACTTTTTTTTTGTTACAAATCGTTTGACAGGTAAAATTACTTTCATTTTAGAGAGATGCAAGCAAATGCTTAGTTTTAACTTAAAGCAGAACACACATAACATATCAACAGTTTGTCTCTGTATAGATTTTACATATATATTTTTGTAAAGAAACACTATTGGGGCCTGTCTTTAGCGCTTTTATTATCTCTGGTCAAAATAAAGATTTCAGAGGTTTGATATTGAATAGTTGTGTTTTTATTGAAAAGCAAATAGCATTTTAAGCGATATTCACGAGTCACAAATGCCAAAAACGCGTGTTTCTGGAAGATTGTCCTAATGCGGCTTCCGTACACACGTTGACTAGCAGAAAAACGAAAAACGTAAGCAATTTCTTTACTTTTGTTTGTTATTAATATAAAAGCAACTGATGTCAAAGCATATACAAAAAAAAAAAAAACATTCTCTAACTTGATTTCTTGAATGCGTATACAACGCAAATATTCATTTAGCATCACAACTACTCTGCTAGTTATACTCTGGATAGTATGAAAGTGAATTCGCTGCTCGTGTTTACAGTCATGTTTTTGCTAGCATGAGAAATACTAAATATTTGAACGAGTAAAGAGGAGACTGAAGCAAAATCTACTTTAACTGTCAAGTTAATCTCTGAGGTTACCACAGAAATGTTTCCTGAATTGAACAGTCTTCTCAATGCTTCTCCAGACACTTTCAAACCTGTAAGTGATCATTTATCTTTTTGTAAACATGATGTAACTAGCAGCGTTACTGGCTAACCGATGCTTTCTGTACTTTAAGGGGGACTTTATCCTGCTGTCTGACAGACAAGCTGATGCATCGTTTCTCATTCATCACTATCTGTCTTTCTATTTACGTGGTGAGTGAGTGAGCTCCTCTAATTAATATCAAAACCACACTTTAAAGCAGTTTTTAATAATTAAAACCATGTTAAGTTCTGTTTTTGATCCAGGTAATGAATATCAGGGTTTTTGTTTGTGGCTTCAAATTTTAGTTTCTAACTATCAAAAGATATACGATCTCACAAATATTGGGATTAGAGATGGCTCTCTTTACAGTCAGTCCTTTTTTTTTTTTTTTTAGTAAATAATCAATTGTTCTAATATTGACTAATAAAGTTGAGTTGTGCAAATGACATTCATGCTAAAACAAGAGCTGAACAATATATCCTTTTAGCATTAAGATCACATATAATATAATATAGCGTATAATATGGTGATCATTCGCAATAGGCACATCAATATGTGCAATATTGAGTCTGGATTATAATTGATAATTTCGCAAGTGTTTTGGGGTTTTGAAAACATTCAGGCATAAGAAATTGTATTGCTTATAACTTTTACAAGTTAATAACGATACATTTTATTAAATTGTTACTAAAACTAAGACCAATTATTATTTTACACTTGATTATTCAATTAGACCAGATTAATAAAGTGACTAGGCCGAAAAGAAAATGAATGAATGAATGGTTATGAATGTGACATACAAAAACATTTAAGGATTGCGGTTTATACTTTTCTATTATATTTCAAACTCATTTTATCCGTTTGTCAACAGAAAGTTAATTATTTAAAATGTTGTGTAATCACTTATTCCTTTATACTTTAATAAAAACAGGTCAAAGTATATAGTTCCGCTTTCAATTTACACGTGATGAAACATTATTTTACTCTTTTACCTTCACAAAAGCAGAATGGGATCTATGCTCAGAAAATAAACTTTCTGAAACTCAGCCAGAAATAGGTAGAACA